AGGCCAGGCTGCCGAGGCCGGGCTGCGGGGCTGCCGGCGGGGCTCAACCGGAAGATGTCGAGGTGGGGTTTTCTCCCATCCGTGTTTATTTAACCGTCGGGGGTCCGAGGCCCCCTGTTCTCAAGCCGGCCAGGCCTTCTGTGGCCGCTTGATTTCCCAGAAGCCTCTGGTGCCTCTCTGCTCAAGCTGATGTGTGTGTGACCATTCTTTATTTCGTGTGTGTGTATGTGTGTGTGCGCGCGCGCGTGCGTGCGTGTGTGTGTGTATGTGTGTGTGTGTGTGTGTGTGCTGGTGGGGAGGGGTGGCGGGCTTGAACTCCATGCCTCTCGCCTTCCCATGGCTTTTCCCCCTCAAGGCTGGTGCTGGCTGCTGGAACCACACCTCTTCGAGCTTTGCTTTACTTTAAGAGATGGCAGAGTATCTTGAAGTTGTGTTCTCATTAAGGTTCAGGCTGGGCGCCAGTGGCTCACACCTGTAATCTTAGCTACTCAGGAGGCTGAGATCTGAGAACTGTGGTTCTTAAGCCAGATCCAGCAAGAAAGTCTGTAAGACATCTCCAATTCCTCTCTCTCTCTCTCCCTCCTCTCTCTCTTTCTCTTTCTCTGTCTCTGTCTCTCTCTGTCTCTGTCTCTGTCTCTCTCTCTCTCTCTCTCTCTCTCACACACACAGCTGGAAGTGGAGCTTTTGGCCCAAGTGGTAGAGTGCTAGCCTTAAAAAAAAAACTAGGTTCTGGGCCGCAGCTATCAGAAAATATAAAAGGATGGCACCACTGTGTTAATAGACTGAATTTCACTTTGTGATTTAGGAAACTAAAAAGACTTTAAACTGTGTTGAACTTGTTAGGAATGACACCGGCACACATGTATAACACTTGTGCATTTCTGCTGGGAGCATACAAGTGATGTTTTTATGGCAATGACTTGTTTCCATCATAACTGGGTAATGTTCTTTCAACTACACTTTTCTTATCTTACACAATGAATCACATGTTCAAATTTCGAAAGAAAAAGTAGACTGGAGATTAGCAGAGTGGGGCAGTCCCACTCTGGAATCAGAACCTCCAGAAGAATCTTGCGGGGAGGATCCATTCTTGTAAGGTTCAAGGCCTTCCAGTTTTACCTGGAAGGGCACAAGTTGGCATTGCTGTGCCTTCCAGGGAAGGTTCCCAGGTGATTTGGGGGGCAGGGGAGGGCTAAAGGGAGCAGGCATTGCTCTGGTTTGAATGATGTTAGAAAGAGGAAGAGATTCTATGATTGTGTGTCTTCATCCATCTTGCGTAAAGGAAAGAAGGTCACAATGAAGCCACAGCTGTGGGTGGTCAAGAATCGGCAGTGGGTAACTGCCGACTGGAGGGAGGTGGCTGTTGGTCATTTTTGTGGTTTGGATAATGTCTGTGTTTGGTCTGTGGCCAGACGTGAGAGGGAGTGTTCTTGTTTCATGTTGATGGCCAGCGTTAGTTTGTATTCAGCAGAAGAATGGCAGGCCTGCTCCTGATTGCTTCTAACCAAGGCTGGGATGATAGACTGGCTCCTGCTTCTCTTCTTCCCTGATCTCAGCCACATTCCTAATGTCTTCGAAGGTCACATCTGTAACATGTGGACAATGTGTGCCTCCCAGAGCTGGAAAGATTATGTGAGGAAACCTGTACAAAATGTGCACTCAGCCCAGCGCCTGACACACAGCAGGGGAGGGTGGTCCCTGATCTTTGTCAGGTGTGTTTGATGTTGAGGTTGAGGCAAGAGGATCTTGAGCGATAAAGCCCAATCCTGTCTCAAAAAAAAGAAAAAAAAAGCAAGACTGTCTCAAAAAAGGGGGGCAGTAAAGAAGGAGCAGGAAGAAGAGTTTCTGCCTATCAAGTTTGAGCCCTGAGTTCAAACCCTGGCACTGCCAAAAAGGGTGGGGGGGGGCTTATTCTCTCTGGGAATATATAGCTCCAGGGTCAGGAAGCTACTTTATAGTAATATAAGAAAAGGTACTGTAGGGTTAGGTAAGGCAAGTGTTTTTTGATACTGAAGAAAAGATTCATGTTGAAGAAACTGAACTGAGCAGCTAAAATGCAAGACTCATCCGGGTTTAATTTTTATTTTTTGGTGCTTGACCTGGGGCTTGAACTTATGCTCTGGGTGCTGTCCCTGAGCTTCTTTTGCTCAAGGCAAGCACTTGGCCACTTGACCCACAGCTCTTCTTTCAGCTGTTTTGGTGGTTAACTGGAAGTAAGAGTCTCCTGGACTTTCCTACCAGGGCTGGCTTTGAACCATGATCCTCTCAGATCTCAGCCTCCTGAGTAGCTGAGGTAACAAAGAGTGAGCCACTGACACCTGGCAGGTTTAATTTTTTTTAAATTTGCTTTTTTTGTGTAATGGTTTTCCTTATTCTGTTTGTGAATGTGGAAGGTGTGTGTATGTATGAATTTATCTGGCTATGTTCAATTTGTGAATTATAGATCTTTATAACTCTTTTATTGTGAAAATACTGTACAGAGGGGTTACATTTACATGGGCAAGATAATGAGTATAGATCTTTATAACTCTTATCCATGTTTCTACTGGAGTTTTTTTTTTTTTTTCCATTGTGGGGCTTGAACTCTGGGGTTGGGTGCTGTCCCTCAGCTCTTCAGCTCAAGGCTAGCACTCTACCACTTAAGCCACAGTGCCACTTCCAATTTTTTCTGCTTATGTGGTGCTGAGGAATTGAACCCAGGGCCTCATATATGGGAGGCAAGCACTCTACCACTGAGCCACCTTCCCAGCCCTCTACTGGAGTATTTTAAGTTTGGCTTTTGCAATTTTTTAAAAAAATAAGCATTTTAGTTTGGGTCATAAGTGTTACAGGTACTTTCACCATTTATTTGCCTCTAGACTGACAAGGTTCAAAAGAGTTGCTTGTGCTTTGGTCTGGATCCTTAATAATTACAATAAACAAAGCTGTCTTGTCTTCCTGGATAGGAACAAATAAAACTTTTTTGTTATTAGTCACTGAGATTTGGGGGTTGTTGTTTCTGGAATATAATCTAGCCTATCCTGACTGGTAGATTCTCTTTCCATATTTCAGTTAGAATTCTTTATCCTTACCTACATTCATTAGCGTTTACTAGAAAGCAGATACTCTTTCATGTGAACTGTTGGGACTAAGGAGTATGATAGCTCTAGAAAAAAGATACAAAATAATGGAACTTTGCATTTGTCTTTAGGGTAATCTTATTTTTCTTTCTTTCTAGATAGTTTGGGGTCTTCAAAATGTTTGCCAAAGCAACAAGGAATTTTCTTAAAGAAGTTGATGATGACGGTAACCTGATTTCAGTATCAAACTTGAATGATTCTGATAAATTACAACTTCTGAGTCTGGTGACTAAAAAGAGGAGATACTGGTGCTGGCAGAGACCCAAGTACCAGTTTCTATCTGTCACCCTGGGAGACGTACTCACAGAAGACCAATCACTGAGTCCAGGTATGTCTCTTTGTATGTATTCTGTTATCAGCCCCAGAATAGAAGGTGGTTTTTCTAGATATGTGTTGTCTAGAATTGAGGGGGATCTCTCTCTTTTTTTTCTTTCTGTGATTTCTTAAGAATATCCTTTCCCACGATGCAAGAATTCTGCAGTCCTGACATTGCACAGTCGTAGCTTAATGAATTAATAGAGTTTTTCAGTGTTGTTATAAACATAATCAGTCGTACTCACTGTAGATGGGGAGAAGGTTGGGTGCCATACCCAAAATTTGGTTTAATGTTGGGGCTGAGTATGTGTCATAGTGATCAGGAGGGTGTAAGGAGACTCGGCTGTGTTGGTGAGGACACTGGCAGTCAGTGTGGCTAGAAAATCCTTGACTACGGTCAGGATCGGGGGCCAGAGCTCATCCTGGATTCTGTGTCCTGCTAGTGCCAGAGTGGCAATGAGAAATGTCACTGCTTTGTCTGCTGAGCAGATACAAGATGGTCATTTTTGGTTCCCTTTTGCCACTCAGAACAACACTGGCATGTGTTGCCCAAGGGATAGAGAAGGAATAGAGGTTGGTTGTTGGCATTCCATTGATGATAATTGCCTGTTGGTTCCTTCATGACATCTCTTCCATCAGCAGCAATTGATGGCTTGATGCCAAAGTGTATGCAAATGACATCTTTTGTGGAAGTGTGTCTAGGTGGCATTTGAGTGTACACAGTCTTTTTTAATTTTGTTCTGGTGCTTTTAACTCACAGCCTGGGCTCTGTCCCTTAGGTTTTTTTTGCTCAAGGATGATGCTCTATCAATTGACCCACAGTTCCACTGCTGGCCTTTTGCTGGTTAAGTGGGGATATAGTTTCATAGACCTTACTGCCCAGGTTGGTTTGGCTTGGAAAACCATCATCCCAGATCTCAGCCTCCTGAGTAGCTAGGATTACAGGAGTGAGCCACTGACACTTGGCTAATATGAAGACTTGATTGTCTCTTTATGCTGCAAGACAAGTTTTGGAAATCATTCTAAAACAGCAATGGCAGGCCTGAGACCAGAATTGTACCTGAGAATGTCTGTGATTGCAGTAGCCTTTGGGAGAAGCTGGATCTGCTCTGTTTATCAGAAAGGATGCTGGTTTGACACAAACCCACCTGTCTTTCAGACTGTGAATTTCACTCTTTTGTATAATATCAGCTGGTAACCAGAATCCATCAGGTAGTTACCATTAATTATCTCAGAATGACACACGAAAATCTCAGTTCATGGAGATGTTATCCAAGGTCTGCCAGGACTGAGGAAGTGGCTCAGACGTAGACCGCTTGCATTTATAAAACCTGGGCTCAATCCCTAGTGGAAAGAAACGAAAACAAATAAAAAGAATAGTAAAAACTGGAGTCCTAAGGTTGGCAGTTCAAATATGAGGTCATCTGATATTCATCTTGAGGATTCAGACACAAAGGGCAGAGCCTGCAGGCAATCTGATAGCAATCACCTGGATGTGGCCCTGGAGGTCAGTTGGAGGGCCGTGCAGGGTAGACAGTTTGCAGCAGACTTGAGTCAAGCTGGGATGTTAGGTGTTATTCCTTAGTGTGGTGGAGCCAGGAAGAAGGGGAGGGGGTGAAGGTTGTATGTTCTCCGGTGATGACTGAGGGGTTAGGGCATGTCTGCTGACTTTATCAGGAAGGCAGATAAGGAATTACTTAATAAGGATTGAATGATTGACTAGCATTCAGATAGAAGAATGTAAATAGGAGAGGGGAATTACTTGAGTGGAGCTTGGCCCACGGGATGGATCTCTAAGACTGGTGGGCAAAATGACCAACGACAGCCAGGAAGCTGAACCGTTAAGACCTCTGTCTGGGGGATGTTTTGCTAAACTGTACAAATGCTTTTAATGCTGTCTTCTCTATTTATTTGAATTGTAAAACAATAAACCAAAAAGCACCCAGAGTTCCCTGATGAGTTAGAGCAATCAGAATCCATCTGCTCTCTAAAAAAATACTTTCTTATTGTAAAGGTCATGTACAGAGCCGTTAAAATCACATAAGTCAGGTAAAGAGTATATTTCTTTTTGGATAATGTTACCTCTTCTCTCACTCTTCCCCAGTTTTTCCCTCCTCTCCCTTCCCTACCTACAAGGTAGAGAATTCATTTTCACCATAGTGTCCAGTGAGTACCACTGCTACCTTTGTTCACGCTGTCTCTTCATTTCTGTGACCCCCACCCATCCTCCCAAAGACAGATAAATGAACAAACAAGACAAAAAGAAAAAAAATAAACTATTGTTTTCATTTCCCGGAATTCACTTGGGTAAATATTGTTTTATATGATTAGAGGCACATAGGCATTGTGCCTTTGTCTGTCTTTCCTTCTTCCTTTTTTTTGGGGGGGGGTCGGGTCATGGGGCCTGAACTCTGGGCCTGGGCGCTGTCCCTCAGCTCTTCAGCTCAAGGCTAGCACTCTACCACTTGAGCCACAGCACCACTTCCGGCTTTTTCTGCTTACGTGGTGCTGAGAAATCGAACCCAGGGCCTCATGCCTGGAAGGCAAGCGCTCTTCCACTGAGCCACTTTCCCAGCCCCATTTAGGAGAATCTTATCAGATGAGCAGAAAAGCTCAAAAGCTATGTACATATGACCATATGAGATGATGCTAAGTGAAATGAACTCCAAGATATAGACACAAGAGGTTTCATTGTTGTTCTTTTTCATGTATTGTGTGATTTTTTTTGTTTCTTTTGTATATTCTTCCCCCTATGTTATATCTCCTGATGTCACTGTATTTGATTTTGGTACTCTGCATCTTGTATATACATTTATTTAATTTGGGGAGGGGAAGGGGAATAACAAAATGCTGAAATAGGACACAGGACGACCCATTGCAACAATGATACTCACAAGACACCATGTTGGAAATGATCTTTACAACTTTGGGGGTGGAGGGAGGGAAGGGATAGTGGGATAAAAAGGAGGGGGTAACAATGTCTAACCAGAAATGTACTCATTACCTTACTTATGTAACTGTAACCCCTTTGTACAGCATCTTTACAATAAAATAAAATTTAAAAAATGATATAGTTTTAAGATACAATGTTAAGAAATGAACAAAAAGGAACATAGAGCCAGATAAGTTATATTGTAAGCAAAGTTGATAAATAATAAAAAGCTAACCACTTCCTTAAAAAATAAAAAATAGGCCTGGGAAAGTGGCTTAGTGGTAGAGTGCTTGCCTTGCATGCATGAGGCCCTGGGTTCGATTCCCCAGCACCACATAAGCAGAAAAAGTTGGAAGTGGCTCAAGTGGTAGAGCGCTAGCTTTGAGCTGAAGAGCTGAGGGACGGCACCCAGGCCCAGAGTTCAGGCCCCATGACCGACAAAAAAAAATAATAATAAATCATCATTTATGAAATAACAATAGAGATACTAGCCATAGTGAAGAAAGGTTACATCTTGATTTTATTTTTATTCTTATTTTTGAGAAGGTATCATAGAGTGGCTTGGAATTCGCCTCCTGCCTTAGCCTCCCCAGTGCTAGGATTACAGGTTTATGCTACCATGCCCTCCTCTCTCACACATTCTTTCTCTGTCTAATATCTCCCCTGTCGCCAGTGCTAGGGATAGAACTTAGGGCTACATGGTCACTGACCTATACCCCTAGCCCTTGCATTTTTTGAATATTAATATCAGCAGCAGGAAACCTACTCTAGCAGAACTCCCTCGAGCTCTTTATACTTTCCTAGTAAGGAAGACAGCAAGGGACGGGCTTTAGGGGAAGGGTTGTTTTTCAATATTGACCCCTTGGAAAAACAACATATTCGTTCAGCTTTCAGTAAATATTATGTATTCTAGGATAGTTTGTTAATATTTATACCTTACGTCGATTTATCCACTCACTCATTGGTTTTGTTAAATGCCTACTGTGTGCCCTTCTCCATGCTGAGGATGCTGTGGTAAGCAGAATGCCATGACTTGTCCCCTACATTCTAGTAGGAAGCATGGAAAACACGTAGCTAGAGCCCGGTAGCAGTGGCTCACAGCTGTGATCCTAGCTACCTAGGAGACTGAGATCCAAGGATTGTGGTTTGAAGCCAGTCTGGGCAGGAAAGTTGGTGAGACTCATCTCTAGTTAACTACCAAAAAGCTGGAAGTGAAGGTGTGGCTCAAGTGGAGAGTATGAATCTTGAGTGAAAAATCCTGAGTTCAAGCCCCAGTACTGCTAAGTACACACACATGCATAGCATATATATGTGTATATATACATACATGTGTGTGTATATATCCTATCTCTCCTACATCTACTTATATTGTATATATGTGTGTATAGATATAGATATAGATAGATATAGATGTAGAAGGGATAGAATGTGCTAAGATCAGGGCTGTGTTTTTATGTGGTATGGCTAGAGACAGCAGCAGGTGGAGAAGCTGGTTCCAGAACAAGCCCTGGGGGGAGAGGAGAGGACAGGCAACGATGCTGTGGGCAGTGGCCAGGGTCCCTAGAGCCATGGTGCTTAAGGAAGGGTAGTGGAACTAGAGTGAGCCAAGTCCCTCAGGACCTCAGAGGCCATTGAAAAGACTCTAACTTTTGCCCAGGGTGAGCTGGGAGCCCCTGGAGGATTCTGAGCAGGAAAGTGACAGGATCATTCAGGCAGCTGGGCTGAAAAGAGACTAGATGGGCAGAAGGCAGGAATCTGACCGAGAAGTTTTGCACTCATCCAATGGAGATGATATTTCAGTTTATACAGTGCCGTATGTGCATTCTCATGAAATTTCATCACCTTTTTTTTTTTTTTGCAAGATACAAATTTCAATGCAGAATGAAAAGTCACTTGTATTGAAGTATGGGTAGCTGATTTCTTTTTCCAATGTTCTTTGGATTGTATGAAACTTAAAATAGATACTCCTTAAGCAGAATTTTAGAACACACATATGTGTGGATGGATTGTATGTGTAGAGACTGGGCAGTTTTGGTCTTCACAACTGAGTCCGGCTCCTGAAAGAGCCTCTGCGGAGTAGG